GTTCCTCTCTAGTTCCTAGACCGTTTCTAAATCCAAATTGCTTATCACCCATCTTAATTTCGAATAGAAGGAATACTCGGTTTTGTATAATTCGTAAGAGTATCTTCAGTGTGTGACTCATCAAACTGATTAGTCTAAAATCGCTGCATTTGGTGGGCCTGCTTTTCTTTGGTAATGTTATAAACAGTGACTCTAACCAATCATCCGGTATTTTTCCTTCGTTGTGAATTTTGTTGAAGAAAGTGGTTAAGCAGGCAATGCTTTCCTCATCCAAAAGTTTAAGTAGTTCGGCAGGGATTTGATCTGGTCCAGGTGCTTTATTGTTTTTGGCTTGCTGTATTGCCTTTTTACCTCTGTCCAACTGGTTCTCACAGGCAGTATTTGGAGCATTTTCTCTAGAAGCATCGTCAAAAAGGTCAGTGATGTTAGTTTATTATTTGATTTATAATTGATGATAGTTTATACCCTTACATATCTAGTAGCCAATTTTTTGAAATTTTTACCTCGTTTAAACACACATTTTATGTCATAGTGACGGTAATTACCAGTGGCGGGCCCATAATAGGTTGATTAATAATAAAAAAATTCGCTGACCAAGAATCCTCCACTATTTCTTAAATGATGAGTATACTCGACCTATAAATTCTTATTCGACTATTTCTATACGAATGAAACGCTTTTTCATCAGAAAATGCAACATTAGACGAAAATTTGTCTTCACAGTTTAGGAATTCATTAAAAAATGCAGCTCATCTCGTTTTGTAATCCTCAGTCAACCAAGGTTTCCTTGCAAATGCACAAATTAACAATTCACTTGCTTTAATCCTTATACGGTCAGTACGAATCCTGCCGGAAACGCAGTCTCTTCGCTAGCTTTTCGAGCTGTGGTAAAAGGAGCTTCTCTCAGATAATCTACTACTTCATCTTGTTGCTCTGTGGAGATCTTCTGCCCTCTTGAACCGCCCAATCGTGCTATAGAGTGAAAATGATCCACCTTTCTTTTATTTTCCATATGCTCTTATGGCTCACGTTCCAATCTGCAACAACTTGCCTTGGTGACCGACCATTTTAAGTTTGACAATTGCTCTTTTTTGCGCATCATTCAAATTCATTCTAGGGATTTCGGATTTGGATTGGACGCGTTTAATAGCTTTTTGATTTTTTCCGTAAAGTAAGTTTTTCCGTAATTCGCCTTCAAAAAGCCGGAAAACTGGTTTTGATTTGATTTTATAGACTTGAAAATAGATAAAATTAAGATATTCTTTATAGGTTATCTATAAAGCCCAAAAACACAAAAAAAAAACATGTTTTTTCAAGCCCTTTAAGCATTTTTGCTGGGTTAATCATGTTATTTGAGATAGTTACAACCCGATTCAATACGTCTCCAATTCGTATTAAAAAATATATGAAAAATAATATTTTAAGTTCTCAAAGAAGCAAATATAACCATAGTTCATTCGGAAAATAAGGCTTTCGAGCGTTATTCGGAGAGTTTTTACTGGATTTTCCTAACTTTTTACCTTTCTACATCATTCAAGCGGCATGTTTTCAAAAATTTTATAAAATAACACGAAACGATGTTACGAAACGATATTCAGGGAAGTTAGAAATTTCTTAAAACATGCATAAAACAAGTTTTTGACAAGTGTTTTTGTGAAAACCAGGTTGTTCGCTTAAACGAATGTTGTGCTGGCTTTGTTGAGGTCTGAAAATTCTCTTCTACGCATATTTTTTTAATATGAGTTGAAGACGCATTGATTTGGGTTGTATCGATCTCAAAAAACATAATTAACCCTGTGAAAAACATGGCTTTTTGGAGGTTTAAAGTTGTTTACCCGATTTTTGAATGTCCTAAAGGACTCATTTGCTTTAAATTATTTATACGACTTATAAAAAAACTTTGATTTCCCAAAAATGCTCAAAAAAAACCCCTAAAAGTCAGTTTTTTGGATTTTTGATGGAAATATCTGAAAAAAAAATCAGAATATAGTTTTTTATTAAATACACAAAGTAGAAAAAATTTAGACCTGCAGTCATCTCCAAAAAAAAGTCGAGTAAATTTTTAAAATCTTTTTATGGATTGCAACAAATCGAAAAAAAAAATAAAAACGAAAAAATGGCGTCTTTGGGGATTAGTGGGAGTGGTGGCCGGCTAAAATTGCAGTCTTATTTTTTATTCACATAAAAAATAAAAAATGAAAAAATAAATTGAGGTTGTATCGATCTCAAAAAATATGATTAACCTTGCAAGAACACATGTGTTTACAGGGGTTTCGCCCAATTTTTGAATGTCCTAAAGGTCCCAGAAAGAGATAACCTACAAGAACAATATCTGACAGTAATAACAGATAAAAAAACATATAAATTCGAAGAAGTAGAAATATTCCAGTATTTAGGAGCGACATTCACGAGAAGACCAAATATGAAGGAAGAAATCCAACTGAGAATTATGGCCGGTAACCGTTGTATTTTTGCCCTAAACAATTTATTAAGAAGCAAAAACATATCTAGAAGGGCTAAGATAAGAATATATAAGACAGAAATAAGACCTATTGTATTATATGCCAGTGAAACATGGACAATGAACAAATCCGAGCAAGTCCTGCTGCAAGTCTGGGAAAGAAAAGTCCTCAGGAAAATATTTGGAGGTAAAATATGGAATGGTATATGGATAAAAAGACCAAATATGGAATTAGAGGAGATGTATGGAGAACCGAATATCGTAGGGATCATAAAGTCACAAAGACTGAGATGGTTGGGACACATCCAAAGGATGGGAAACACGAGACTGCCAAAAAGAATGCTAATGGGAGGAATAGGAGGGAAAAGGAAGAAAGGAAGACCGAAAACCAGAAATTATATATATATATATATATATATATATATATATATATATATACAGGGTGGTGAATCGTCAAACGGGCCATGGGAAATTCTAAATTGTTAAATTCCTGCTTCCCTAATTATTTTACACCAAAAGTCATGGGAAACTATTTGTAGAGGACTCAAATATGTATCGAAAACAACTGTTAAAATTATTCTACGACTTAAACGTATTCCAAAATTTTGCTAAAATATAATACATTTTTCTGAGAAAAAATGTGTATTACGTGTTGCGTTTTATCATATTATTGTTTCTGATATTTGACAATATTTAAATCAATTATATTATATTTATATATGATTTAAATGGCCAAAATTTTGTGATTTATTGTTTAAAAAAATTAAGTTGATTAAAAAATGTACTCAGTTGAGGAGAAAAAAGCAATAATAATAGTACATTGTTTACCGGAAAAGCTTAACATTCCTGGACGACTGTGAAGATTGCTAAGTCGAGGCGCAAGCCGAGACTTAGCAACACAGAGTCCAGGAATGTGGCTTTTCCTACGAGGTAAACATACTATTTTTCCGCAAATCGTTTAAAATTCGACAGATATTGATTGATTTAAAAAAAACGCGATAATTGTATTCCCAAATAAATGGTGCTTTGAAATTCCTAATAAAATTACTTGGGTTACTATGGAAACGTATTGAGGTTGAATTGTCAAACTTATGTAGAACACTAACAACTGTACGGAAATATCATTTCCTTACAGTAAGGAAATGACATTTCCTTACAGTAAGGAAGTCCTGACTTTTTCTTCAAGAAATTTTGACCGGAATGTCAAAATTTCCTGGCGATTTGCGGAAAAAATGTTTTATTCGTGTTTTATTATAACATTTGTTATAAGTAGTTTTATGTTTAGAAATTATCATATATTATTATTAGGAATAAAGATCACAGTAACAGTATATTGGAATTCATTGAATTGTTGTATAACTTAACTTAACATGGAATTAAATTTTAGTGAATTAGAATATCTTACGTTAAATAAAGATCCGGTAGTGGCAGGAAAAGGTTCGCTATTGCCTGAATACAACATTATGCGATTTTTCGTCAACTGAGTACATTTCATTGATCGATTTGTAAACAATATAATTTATTGTTCACAAAGTAATAATGTTCATTAGTAGTAGTATTTAGTAAAATTCATTGTTTATAATTAATTCATAAAATAAAAACATTGACAATTCAAATTGTCAAATATCTGACATCAATATGATAAAACACACACGTTCTAATATATATTCTTGCATTACGTGTGGCCTAAAACATGTATTATATTTTTGCAAAATTTTGAAGTACATTTGATTCGTAGAACGGTTTTAACATTTGTTTTTAATTCAGATTTTAGTCCTCTACAAATAGTTTTTTATGACTTTTGATCTAAAATAATTAGGGAAGCAGCAATTCAACAATTTAAAATTTCTCATGGAGTTTCCTATGGCCCGTTTGACGATTCACCACCCGGTATATAAAGGTCCCAGTTACTTTAAATTATAGATAACCTATAAAAACCCTGATTTGATATATTTTGAAGTCTTTTGGATTTTAGAAGTTGGCGCACCTACAAAAAAATCTGAAAAGATCATAAATATAGTTTTTGAATAAATACGCAAAATAGAAAAGAAAAAACTAGAACTATAGATATCTCCAAATAAAAAGTATATTCTTTTTTCGAAAAAGAAAATGCATTTTAGGTTATATCACCTTTTTGTCTATAAAAATACACAAATTTTGTAAAAGCCGTAACTATGCGTGAGAACTTTTTGAAATTTTTAAATTTATTGCAACTCACCGAAAAAAAAATAAAGAAAAAATGACAAAATTACGTTATAGGTGTAAGGGGATTGGCTTAAAAGTGCGCCGAGTCTAATTTTTTAATCACAGAACGTAAAAAAAATTAATTGTGGGAGTGAGGACATTTTGCCTATCTTAACGGGGGGTACCTTTTGATTCTTATTGATGTTTCACCCTCTTTCAATGCTTGCAATAGTAAAATCATCTGGCATTAGTCTTCTTTATATTTAGGTTCAGACATAAAATAGTTCCGTTATAACTTCTTCAAACAAATTAGTTCGTACTACCATATTAAATTATCTATCATGCTTGTTTTCAGGCTTCTGAAGAATGTTCAAATACAGCCTCAGCCGCGGCAAGCAATGCTGCAACCGCTGAAACGGAGGCTGTCGCAACCGCCTCCACGTCCTCTGGCGAAATGAACGCCGTCACCGGTAGTGAAGACAAGGACGGCGATAAAGATGTAAAGAAAAAGAAGAATCGATGCGCCAATTGTCGCAAGAAGGTTGGTCTAACAGGTGAGTTATTATTTTGACGTTTTATGTGAAAATAATGGACTGTAGTTCAGTACTTGCAATTGTTTACAATTTTTAACGCAACCAATAAAATTTCACTCGACTTTGGTAAAATTCAAATTTTATATCATTTTATCTAAAAAGCTCTATGCAGAGGAAGAATAAACGACGCTAGAACCGAAAACACCAGAAATTGTCATTAATGAAGAACTTAATATAAGTATACAGGGAGTTCGTAAAATACTTGACAAACTGATGAACAGAAAAGCAGCAAGTAAAGACGAGATACCAAACAAATTACTGAAATATTATGGAGTTGCAATGACTGAACAATTAACAACAGTAATTAAAATTATGAAACACAATAAAATACCGGAAGAATAAAGAACGACCGAAATAATTCTGCTATTAAAAAATGAAGATAAAAAGCAGCCATCTGTAATCCATCTTCTGTATAATATAGATGAAATCATCAAAAGCGTTAACAAAGGAAGAGGATACAGAATGGGAAACAAAGAAGTAAAAATACTCTGTTACGCAGACGACGCAATATTGATAGCCTAAGATGAAGATAGTTTGCAAAGACTGGTCCACAGATTTAACATAAGAGCAAAAGAATTTAATATGACAATCTCATCTCAAAAAACTAAAACAATAATAATCAGCAAAGATGTAAAATAGAAATTGATGACATCAGTATTAAACAAGTAATGGAAATAAAATACCTTGGAATTACACTGTCCAGCTATGGAGACCTGGACAAAGAAGTGAGAGATCAAATACAAAAAGCAAATAACTGGCAGGATGCCTTAATAATATTAAAATGCAAAACAGGCACATTAACACTGAGATGGAGTCAAGAATGTATAAAGCCAGTGTAAGACCAATAATGACATATGCCTTAGAAACAGAACCCGACACAGCCACAGCACAAAGGCTACTGGAAACGGCAATGAGAGTACTGAGAAGAATTACAGGAAATAAGCTGAGAGATCGAAAGAGAACGAAGACATTAGAAGAAAATGTAACGTACAGTGTATAAATGAATGGATACTAAATAGAAAAAAAGAATGGAGTAACCACATAAACGGAATGGTGGAGTCCTGTGTCGTCAAAATAGCAAGAGATAAGTCACCAATCGGCAGGAGAGGTAACTGACGACCGTGCAAAAGACAAACTTCCATAGATGTATTAATCCGCTAGTGAACAAGCAGATTGCAGAATTGCTTATAAAGAGGAAGAAGTTCTAATTCAGAGGTGTTTGATATAGATCTAAAAATCATCTATAGTATCTATTATAACCAAACTGAAACATTGAAGTTGATACCGGTTACAGAGGATATCTCAATAAATAGATCAGTGCGACAAGAGTGCATGCTGTCCTCGTTGTTATTTAACATCTACTCTGAACATATCTTCCCACAAACATTGGAAGAATGAGATTAAGGTATATTATTTAACAGAATGCATTCAAATATATTTTTTTAATCATCAATATATTAATGACCTTACAAGCTTTGAATCAAAAGTTACGTACAGCCCCTTGATGACACCACTGTCTCCTTCGCAGCTGACACACTTAAGAAATCTCTTAGGGATTCCAGATCTCCAGAATCTTCGTTCCTAGAGGCGAAACATTTGTCAACATCGTTATTAAAAAATGATATCCTTTGTTTATAAATATAAAGAATTTACCTAATCAAAAATAGACCGAATGAAACAGACCAATTTAGAACGAGATCCTACAACATAAACAAGGAATAATACGAGAAAAATAACAATACCATACAGTATACACAAAAGGATTATCGAAAAAAGTTGAAACGATAGGAAATAAATTCAACATTTTAGCAACATTTAAAACAACATACACATTGAGATCTATTTTATCTAAAACTAAACCTAACAACGAACAAGAAAGAACATAAGAGAATTGTATTTATAAATACCTTGTGAATGCGATCATTTTTATTTAGCTTAATATCAAAACCATTAAATGTTAGAATAAGTGAATATCAATCTTATATTAAAAATAGAGAATACTATTCAATGGAAAGATTAAAGTATAGTGCTGAAAGAAACAGATGGTACAAAGCAAAAAAACAAAGATGCAACTCTTATTATGCTAAATGAGGAAATAAATAAAAAGAAAATACTAATATTAGTAAGTCGATAACGTATCGAGGATATATCATTTATGTATTTAAATAACATACATATAAAATCAGATTTTGGTGTTTATTGGAAGTAAACTAAATGTAAGACTAAATACTTACCATGTCATGAGATTTTTTTCCTGGTTTTTTTCCTCATAATTTACAATGAAATCGCTAACAGGAGAATTTTAAAGTCATCATTTGCATGTGGTTGTCTTTTTAAAGACAAATCACAAAGTTGATTTCATGTAATCGAATGAACTATCTTACAATGAAGTTGTCTCAGGAATACAACTCAACAATATTAGCAATGTCATTTTAAAGTCGTCTGCTTTAAAATGTATAATGTATGTCTGAATTGTCAATATAAATGAATCAGGATAAAATTAAATTAGAAGAATTTCTCACCAAATAACAAAAAACAAAATTTGTTTAATTTAATAATGTTTTGTATTTTGAGAACGATTTCCGAAGTGGAAATCGAAACGTCAAAAATAAACTTATTTTAAACTTAAATTGTGGCTAAGTCCCAAAAAAATGGTACTTTCTTTAAGATGCCAAAAGAAAATAGCTACAGAACAGGTCTTACGTAATACTTGAACAGTCCCCTATTTATATACAAAGCACTCACTGTTTTACACTGTTAGGTAGAAGTTTTAAATATAGGAAAAATTTCGTTTTGACTTATGAAGATTTGTTGTTTCAGGTTTTGAATGCCGTTGCGGAGAATTGTTTTGTGCCACACATCGATACAGTGACAAACATGATTGTAGTTTCAACTACAGAGAAATGGGTGCCCAAGAAATTAAACGCAACAATCCTGTCGTCTTAAGTGAAAAGATCCAAAAGATCTGAACCTCACCACAACGTTTCCTAGAAAATATTTGCGTGATGAGTGATCAAATGAGATACAGACAATTTTTTCTGAAAAATCATTAGTCAGATCTGGTCGGGGTGTGATTAGTGCAAACACACAAACGTTCAAAAAGACTTTAATGATTTATTATTATATGGTACTTTTATTTACAATTTTGCCACTCAGTTTCATTTTTAGTTTTATTTCGATTAATAAATTTAGATATACAAACAAATATATATGTCATTTTAGCTTCTTTTTGATTATATACACATTACTGAAGGGCTGCAGGGACTGAATTCACTTTTATTTTTTATAAAAAAATTTCACTTTTACTTTTTTATAAAACCTGTCCATCTTTAAAAACCAAACATGTGCTTCATTTACAAAAAAAATCAAGAGAAAATATTACAAATACCTCTTTGCGGCTCTATAAAATATTGTGTGCTTTCAAAATCCAAATTTGTGTTTGGTGTTTAAAATATTATATTTGAGTATATTTTACAAATATATATGATTGTAATTAGTCTGCCATATCTTTTATATACTCAATCTTACATTTTGTTAAATATTTAAGCATTATTTTATTGAATCAATTGTTTAATTAAAGAAACGAATATTGTTAATATTTTTCGCAACATTAAAAGTGTTGTTCCAAAGTGTTGTTTAGAAAATTTTGCTATACACAACAAAGAATTAAATATTCTTTATCATCATCATCATGGTGCTACAGCCCTTAAAGAGCCTCGGTCTGCTTAAGCTTTCTGCGCCATTCTGCTCTGTCCCTTGCTTGGATTTTCCAGTTGGCAACACCGATATGCTCAGTATCATATATTACTCCGTCTATCCACCTCAGCTTTGGTCTACCCCGTCTTTTCATTTTGCTGCAGTGACATGTGTTGCCCAGTTCAGACGGTTTCACTTGATTATAGTGGTTATATCTTTTCCACTAAAACTTATGTTTGTAGAAATTTGGTTAGGTTAGGGTCAATGCTTCTGATCCACATGTGGGAACTAAGACTATCGGTGTTCTATACAGTCTTATACGAGTTTTTTGAGACAGACGTTTGTTAGCTAAGTACTCTGATAGACCATGATAACATCTGTTTGCAGTTATGATTCGCCTTTGTATTTCCCGTGATGTGTTGTTATTGGAATTAACAGATGTCCCTAGATATATGAACTCGTTGACCGCTTAGAAGTTTTGGCAATTTTGACAATGAGATCTGCGTAGAGATTCCCAGCTCTTGCGTTTGTGTTAGTCTACATGAATTTGATTTTATTTTGATTTACCTATAAGTAATCCCATTCGTTCTGCTGCTGTAATATCTATGTCCACGTCGTCAGCATATGCTAGAATTTGGAATGATCTATTAAATATAGTTTCCCTGCTATCTAACTTATCGTCTCATACGACTTTTTCTAACGCTACGTTAAAAAGCTGACACGCCAGCGCATCTCCCTGCCTTAACCCCCAATGTATTTCAAATGGAGTTGACGAGGCGTTCTGATTTTTTATTGCTGACAGCATATTTGCCATTGTCACTTTTATCATGCGTATATATTTTTTCTATTTTGAATTCATTACAATTTACTTGCACGAGAATTATCCTTTATCCAGGTAGCTACATTATAGAACAGGTAAAGAAGATTTTTTTGTGACACTGGCCGGCCAGGCCAATGACAATTATTTTGAGTAGTATGAACCTCCATAGCAATAACCTATATATTTCCTGCAGTAGATTTTTTGGACTTAATTAGTTGTAACGTTTAATCTTATAAAGACCAGGGCGTTAAGCAAAACCATACTGTGGGAAGAAACGAGGGGAGAAATTCTTCGATTATCCCTAAGGATATTCAAGAGAAAAACGCCCACCGTTGCATCCACCAGAATGGTGCTCTGCCCGACTGCTCAGCCCTGGGTTCGTTCCCTGTTCATTCTCCCTCTACACCAATTCCAGAAAGGTACAAGAAATAAAAGTACTTGTTAAGTCATAACAAAAGGTATATATTTATTTATAAAATAAAACAAACAACATTTATATTATGAATATGACACAAAGATAAACAAACTGACACAAAGATTAAGCCGGTTGCCGGTATGGAATAACTAGAATATAATAAAAGTGCTCAGATTTATTTTGTTTGGAATGAGCTGTCCCGTCTTTCAGGAAGGGTTCCGATCCCTGTCGAATCTAGCCGCTGTCGGTGGATTTAAGGAGAGTTGCTGGTCTACAGAATGGCAATTTATTTTCTTCCTATGTTACTAAAGGGATTTCATATTCCGTGCTGATGCATCAGTGGCTCGGTATCTGGTTGCTGAATGTTGCCCAAGGTATTGCGGTTGGCTGTTTTCTTGCTCCCACGGTAGTAGCTAGAAAATTTAAACAAAGATCAGTTCTCTCCCAAAAGAAAATCCTGATCAGAAATACAGCTGAGTATTCAGAGAGAAAAGATCTCAGCAAAATCTCTGATCACAGCGTGGCATTAATAAAAATAAGTTTGTAAGAAAAGATTTTTATTAGTAAGATATTTAGGAAAGTAAGGTAAAATAGGTACATATATACAATAAGAACAAAAAATAAAAGTTAAAATGATTTCAGCTTTATTTTATGAGAGAAAATATCTGCCACGCAAAGTAAAACAAATAGAAAAACAGAGGCCTAAAACTAGAAGAAAAACTTACCCGTTTATACGGCCAAGACACTAACCAACTTAAGAATGATTGTAGCAATTGTCGTATAGTGAAAAAGAACGAATAAAGATTCGTATCGGCTATTATAGCGTAGCACTGCTGCTAAAAATATTTATAATGTAGTGAGGTCGCTTAGGAATAGTATAGTACCGGGGCCAAGTACCGAGCGGAGCTTGGTGCCACGTTCAATCGGTTGATTGAAACGTTACATAGTTATTAACAAATTAAGTTCAAAAACGGTAAATTTTCACAGAAAAGACATTTAAGATTTGATTCCACGTATTGTACCTCTTCTATTGGCTTATACGTATATAACAGGAGTCATTAGAGCGACTGTGCAGAAGCCCTGTATATGAAATCAAATATTTTTCGTCAAAAGCAGTATTAATAAAATAACTTCATACAGACGTACGGCGCTGTCTGAGAATAAAAACAAAACAGAAATCCGAAGATTTCTGAGTTTTCGAAACCAAAATTCAGATTGTTGCTTAAATGTGTGTATTATACAATTTTCAAAGCAAAACAGACGATGAATGGACCGACATGGGAAATCTAAATTTGCATTCTACGACATATCGATTCATCTACACAAGAACCTTTCGTGAATTTGTTTCTTATACTCGAAATACGAGTAAATCAAGGTATCGAAAAGACAGTTAAGATTTGATTTCACCTATAGTGCCTCTACTTTTCGCCTATACGTATTTCATCTTAGCGGGACTTATCAGAGCGACTGTGTAGAAGTACTGAACTGGTAAATTTTCACTCTTTTCTATCAGCAAAAATTGAACCATTTGAAACAAATTTAAGAGTAATAAACTTACAAGTTATATAAAAACCTTCAAAATGGCGTTTTTTAAATATTTTCTGCTCAATTGTTGCCTAGAAAGTTAAAAATTAATAAGGCCTGAATGTCAGGCATGAAAAAGCTTCACAACTTTTATAGTTTTTAATAGAAAAAGTATGAATTTAGATAATTAAAAGTGATATATCAAAAGTGGTTTACAGTGATTTGTTAAGTGCCGTAAGTACTTCTTTCCAAGTAATCATAGGTTGATTAGAAATATCACTTTTAAGCATCAATAACATATTCTCATCAATAATTGTAGTTACAAATTAACCAAAAAACTAGTTGTACTCTTATCGTTATTCAGCTAATTTGGTCATTACCAGACCGATCAACTAATTTTAAAATAAACAGAGTCGGACTTTATTTGATTTAATCTATATATAAAATAAAGTCCTGTTAAGATCGCATATAGAGGATTCATCATGTCCGTAACATCAGATGGAAGTTCCAACGTAATTAGCTCTGTACCACAACATACCAACACAGTTAAATCCTACTCAAAAGTTCTAAGCCAACATACAGTCCCTAGTCCTGAACAAACGATCGTTTTCTCTTCAAAGGATGGATTACGCCTACCGGACTACCTCATACAACTAGGAGCACTTATACAGCCCAAAAACATCTTATTTTCTTCAAGGTTGTCCAATAATCGAGTATGCATGTATCTAGCGAGGAAAGTAATTGTGGATAACTTTATGCAGGTACATGATGGTGTAATACTAATAAATGATGAACCAGTTCAAACTAGAAAATATATTACTCCAGCAGATAGGTTAGTTCTATCAAATGTATGCCCCTCAATTCCCCATGATATTCTTATTCACAAATTAAAAAACCTAGGTATCAAGCTAATGTTATCAATGATCTTTCTTCGTATTAGCTCTACCTTACCGGAATTCAGTCATATTTACAGTTTTAGAAGACAAGTTTTTATCAACCCTGTTATAAATCCTTTACCAGAATCTTGTTTGTTTAGTTACGATAACGAATTTTATAGAATATCGAATTATCCCAAGATAATCAGTTATGCTTTAACTGCAAACAGCAAGGACGTAATGCTAATAATTGTAAAAATCCCACAAACTCCACAATCACCCACACCTCCAACTATTTCAACATCGTTAAACACTCCTTCACAAATGGACACCATAGAAAAACTTCCCAATCAGCAATATCCTTCCTTTACAAACAGTACAAATCCTGAACATAACGAATCAAAAGAATCCTCAGTTACCAATACCATTACACCTCCAGAAAATAACCACTGTCTCACTAGATATCACTCAACAGACAAGCCGTAAACGTGACGTAGATGAAATTCTATTACCTTCACCAGATCTGTCAGAAAAAGACAAACAGAAATAAATTTTAGGAAACCTACACAAAAACCCAAGAAAAGTTCTGAGACTGACCTAAAAACAATAATAAATGAACATTTACCACCATATATCCTTATTCATGACCAATTTATAAATCTGTTAGAAAACGCACCAGGTTATCCAAATATTATCACCACTAGTAACTAATTATACACTTGATTTTACTGGATTACTAGGAATGAGTAGTAATTTATATGCTTACATAATAGATAGATCTCTTAAAATCAAATGTACCAACTAACTTACTAAAGTACTTACTAAAAAAAACGTACCAAAAAAATCAAAAAACACCTAAATGACGAGCTC